ACATTACGTCTAAGGACAATTTTTTATTTTTACCACTCAATGTATTTTCTTTTTCTATATCTTACATTGTCATCTTAATTTTTTGATCACCTTAGTAAAAATTTGCTTAAGATTATAAACTTCAAGTTTTAAAAAACAACAACGTTATAGTACGTCGTGTCAAATGACACACCGTTTAAAATGTCTACATTTAAAGTTCACCAAAATAATGACGTAAAAACTAAATATGATATGACGTTAGCATACATATCATTCAATCTAATCACTCTAAAGTACAAATCAATAATTTTTATTGATTAAGGGGCTGGGTGAGTTATTTTTATCACTATTCGCCCTTCCCCTTCCCTTTGTCCGCAACCCCGTTCCCCTTCTCCCATCCAACCTTGCGTCATCACACTAACCTCAATACCAACCGTTAGATAAACAGACCGTACTACTACTACTACCCGCACTATACCTATGCCATTTAAGAGACAAAGGCTGTATGACAATCCTACAGACAAATATTTATTCAACTAATATCACAACCCCCTAGAAACCACTCCAACAGACTGGGATACATAACTTGTAGACACCACTCCTCGTTGAATATCTCTTGCACCCTACCTACATCGACAATTTTGTCCGCCGCCCTCGCCCCCGTCCCTAGTATGAACTCGGTTACCAACAATTTCAAAACATGCATGTTCCGAGTTCAAAACCAACCTTCACCGACACTACTATGAACTCGGCCCCTAACACTTCCAAAACAGGCCTGTACTAACTTTGAAACCACCATCGGTGAAAACTTCACCGACCTTAGTATGGACTCTACACCTACCGATTCCAAAACATGCATGTTCCGAGTTCAAAACCAACCTTCACCGACACTAGTATGAACTCGGCTACCAACAATTCCAAAACATGCATGTTCCGAGTTCAAAACCAACCTTCACCGACACTAGTATGAACTCGGCTACCAACAATTCCCAAACATGCATGTAACAACTTTCCAACCTGCCTCAGTGCTAACAAAATTCCCCGACCCTAGTATGAACTCGACTGCCATCAATTCCTAAACATCCATGTACCAACTTTGTAACCTACCTCGGTGAAAACTTCACCGACCTTAGTTTAACTCTACCTAACAATTCCAATGATGCATATACGAACTTTGTAACCTGCCTCGGTGAAAACACCCCCGTCCCTAGTCTGAACTCGGTTACCAACAATTTCAAAACATGCATGCTCCGAGTTCAAAACCAACCTTCACCGACACTAGTATGAACTCGGCTACCATCAATTCCTAAACATACATGTGCCAACTTTGCAACCTGGCTCAGTGTTAGCAAAACTCCCCGACCCTAGTATGGACTCTACACCTACCGATTCCAAAACATGCATGTTCCGAGTTCAAAACCAACCTCGGTGAAAACTTCACCGACCTTAGTTTAACTCTCCCTAACAATTCCAAAACATGCATGGTCTAGATTCGAACCCTGCCTCGGTGAAAACGTCACCGACTCGTGTATAAAATCTGTCCCAACCAACTCCAAACCTTCCCTGGGCACCCGAATAAAAATAACTCACCCAGCCCCTTAATCAATAAAAATTATTGATTTGTACTTTAGAGTGATTAGATTGAATGATATGTATGCTAACGTCATATCATATTTAGTTTTTACGTCATTATTTTGGTGAACTTTAAATGTAGACATTTTAAACGGTGTGTCATTTGACACGACGTACTATAACGTTGTTGTTTTTTAAAACTTGAAGTTTATAATCTTAAGCAAATTTTTACTAAGGTGATCAAAAAATTAAGATGACAATGTAAGATATAGAAAAAGAAAATACATTGAGTGGTAAAAATAAAAAATTGTCCTTAGACGTAATGTATTATGTATAAGTAAACTTTCTTAAAAATTAACGAAGTTCAAGTCAAAAAGAAGTTTGATGAAAACTGTAATACTAAAGTGAACATGGGAAGGTAAGCTGCTGCAAGACTAAGATATATATTCGTCTTCCTTCTAGGTTCATTGTCTTTTTTGACGACGTATTATAACGTTGTTGATTTTTAAAACTTGAAGTTTATAATCTTAAGCAAATTTACCACCACCTTACCACCACCTTACCACCACCTTACCACCTTACCACCACCTAAGGTGATCAAAAAAAATTAAGATGACAATGTAAGATATAGAAAAAGAAAATACATTGAGTGGTAAAAATAAAAAATTGTCATTAGACGTAATGTATTATGTATAAGTAAACTTTCTTAAAAATTAAAGAAGTTCAAGTCAAAAAGAAGATTGATGAAAACTGTAATACTAAAGCGAACATGGGAAGGTAATCTGCTGCAAGACTAAGATATATATTTTGTTAACCCTTGTCTTCCTAAATTATTTTTTAACTTTTTAAAGAAATTGACTGTTTAGTTAAGGATTCTGACGCGAATTTTTTCACAAGGGACGATACTCGTGTCCGTAGACAAGGCTGTTCTAATTTTAGAACAGTTGTCTTTCCTCTCGTTTCTCTATTAGGGAAGCCGTAAGGGGAAGACACGCGACACGTCTTTTAAAATGTAAACAAGCGTGCACGGGGTGCACTTAAAATAAACCCCGCTGCGACAATTGTTAAATTTATCTGGCTCAGTGTGGTCAAATGGTGGTCAGATCAAAAGAAAATCGGAACGGTCATAAAAAACTTAATTACTTTTCCAGACTTGTAAAAAAACATGTCTACCCACGCATACCTACGTACCAACGCACCAAGTCGCCCTGTCGCCCATTAAAAAACACGAACCTACCGAGACTTCGTTTCGTCTCAAAACCTGACTTAACGGTGGTTGAAAGAAAATTCCGACCCTTAAATATATTTTTGTTTTCGCTGACCCTCGCTATAAGCGAATAGTTACAACCATTAATCTTTCATACATAGCAAGGGACGGTTCGCAGGACATGTGGAAACAAAATTTTTTAATTTGATCAAAGAATGACCGGGCGTACGATATGTGAACATAGTTCATGTACAGCTGTAGTCTAATGAAAAAAGCCGAGAGCCGTGACTAATTACAGCACCAGCTGTCGCCACACTTAACGCGGAGAGGGACTTAATGGCTTCGATTAATTACCTGTTGTGATCGCTTCAGTGAGCCCGCTATTAAGCAACCACGGGGAGCGCCGGGGAGGATCACGGGCGGATCGATAAGTACAAGCTGTCACTAATAAGTAACAGCTGTGGTTAAATGGATGTTATACACAATGACACTTTCTAGTACACGCTAGTGTTAGTCTTTTATTTTAAACGGCGTACAACAAAGAAATTAAAAGCAAACTAATTAAAATGAATTTCAAACAAATAAATTATACAAAGTAATTAAATTAAACAACAAGTAAACAACAATTAAAAATAAAATTTAAAAATAATAATTTAAAAAATTTAAAAATTTAAAAAATTAAAATCGAATTACGTAACTCGTTAATAATAATTAAACTAATTATAAAATAAAATTAAAAATTTAAAAATTTAAAAAAATTAAAATCAAATTACGTAACTCGTTAATAAAAATTACACATAGGTGGACCATCATACTGATGGTCAGTGGGTTCGATCAATATTAACTTGGCCCTTGTACGGTGGTTGACAAGAACAAAGGATCGCATGTGGATCGATACGTGTCGGGTGCCATTAGCGAGTAACAGGTGTCTCTAATGGATGTTTGTAGTCGACATAAACCCACGATGCATGACCAAATTAATTAGGCGGACCATCATTTGATGGCCGTGTGTGGAATCAATATTAACGCGCCCGTTGTCCCGATGGTCCCATGGGTGCGATCAATACATTCCCATTAAAAGCGCAGCGCGTGTCAACAAAGGATCACGGACAAAAAAATTAATTAGGTGGGACATCATGCTGTGATGGCCCAGTGGGTGCGATCAATACGTAACAGGTGTTACATGTCTGGTTAATGAATGTTATTCACAAAGTACACGCTAACGCACCCCTACCCCCAAACCCCATCATTACTCCCCCCTCTCATCCACCAACACCCCTATCCGTTTACTATTAAACATACATACAATCAAATAAATAAACAACATTAAACAACAAAGAAAAAGAAATATATCAAATAAATAAATAAACAAAAGTAATTAAAATCAAATTACGTAACTAGTTAATAATAATTTAACTAATTATAAAATAAAATAAAATTAAAAATAAACAAAATAAAAATAATTAAAAAGTAAAAAAATAATCAAATTACGTAACTCGTCAATAAAAATAATTAAAAAAGTAAACAAATAATCAAATTACGTAACTCGTTAATAAAAATTACACAATATAAACAAAGTAATTAAATTAAACAACAAGTAAACAAACAAATTAAACAAAATAAAAATACAATCAAAGTAATTAAATTACGTAACTCGATAATAAAAATTAATTAAAAATTTAAAAACTCCTTAAAAACGCATTAAAATTACGTAACTAGGTCAAAAATTAATTAAAATTTAAAAAACTCATTAAAAAACGCATTAAAATTACGTAACTAGGTCAATGATTACGTCATAATGTTACTAATTACGTCACAAGGTCACCAAAAGGTGACCTACTGACCTACTCCGCATCCGCATCACCCACCCTAGGGTGGGTGAGTATTTTACTATATGTCGTTGTTCCTGCGGCTCACCCACCCTCACCCACCTTCACCCAGGTGGGTGAGTATTTTACTATATGTCATTGTTCCTGCGGCTCACCCACCCTCACCCAGGTGGGTGAGTATTTTACTATATGTCGGTGTACCTCCGCATCACCCAGGGAGTATTTTACTATATCCCGTTGTTCCTGCGGATCACCCACCTCACCCTGGTGGGTGAATATTTTGCTATATGTCATTGTTCCTGCGGCTCACCCAGGCAGGGAGTATTTTCCTATATAGCCTTTGTTCCGCATCCGCATCCGCATCCTGCTCACCCATACTACCCAAAAGTGACCTAATATACTACTAACCTAGCTGTAACGGTACTCAAGTTATCGTGTTTACACACGGACACACACACACACAGACACACACACACACAGACATACGGACAAGATTGCAAAATTATGTTTTTCCGTATCAGTGAGATGCAAAACGTCGAGATTTGCAAAAATCTCGATTTTTTTTTTTTTGCACGATTACAAGACTTTCTCTATACTTCGTATATACGAGAAAGTAAAAAGACTAAGTGAAATTTATTTACAGTGTGAATTATAATAGTTAATTTGATTTTTATGGAATGTTATTTTATTCTCGTTTTTCAAACTTTACAAACATCTTCAAACAGCTGTGAAATAAATGGTAAAAAAAGGTTACCACAACAAAGTTGTTATAAACTTTATACTCTGACCATAACAATAGTACCAGCACTGCCACTATCCTAAGGCTCTGCCTCAATCAAACTTTCACATTTGTCTCAAGTTTCAACAAGAAAAATGTCAGCAAATTGAAGTGAAATGCTTAAGACAGTATCACATTGTCTGATGTGAAAGACACACACTCAGATCTAATATGTCAAGGCCTATATTTGCTGGACTGGCCGGACTGGTGGGTGGGGATAAAATGGGGAAGGAAACACTTTAGGTTTCAACAAAACTAGTTCATGATGCCGGCAAAATGACAGCTGTCATAAACTACAGACATCACATGATGCCAGCTAAATGACAGCTGTCATAAACTACAGATCAGACACAGATTAGACATCACATGATGAGCCTCAATGGTAGCTTAAATATTTAGTTTACAGCAGCACACAAACGATCTAGGCACATTCACCTTTTGGATACTTCTAGCAGCACTTGTTTTTAGATTATTCAAAAAGTTTTTGGCTTTGGTTAATAGCACCTGAAATTATGCATGTTTTTCTAATGACTGGGTAATTTGCTGGAGTGACTGTGTACCATGCCACAGCTAGTGTGGGCCTCAGGTAGCCACAGCTAGTGTGGGCCTCAGGTAGCCACAGCTAGTGTGGGCCTCAGGTAGCCACAGCTAGTGTGGGCCTCAGGTAGCCACAGCTAGTGTGGGCCTCAGGTAGCCACAGCTAGTGTGGGCCTCAGGTAGCCACAGCTAGTGTGGGCCTCAGGTAGCCACAGCTAGTGTGGGCCTCAGGTAGCCACAGCTAGTGAGGGCCTCAGGTAGCCACAGCTAGTGAGGGCCTCAGGTAGCCACAGCTAGTGAGGGCCTCAGGTAGCCACAGCTAGTGAGGGCCTCAGGTAGCCACAGCTAGTGAGGGCCTCAGGTAGCCACAGCTAGTGAGGGCCTCAGGTAGCCACAGCTAGTGAGGGCCTCAGGTAGCCGCAGCTAGTGAGGGCCTCAGGTAGCCACGGCTAGTGAGGGGTGGACAGGTGGCTGGAACAGCTGGATGTGTTCTGTGGCAGGTTCGTGGTCACCATTCTCACCTGAGCTCAGATGCCTGTTCAGTACGTCGAAGATCTGATTGTTTACAATTTGAAACTTACGGATTCTGTCGGCCATTTTTTTCAGTGGCTGTTGAACAAAAACAATACAAAATACTAAATTCAACTTTTCAAAATTGGACTCCACTGAATTAATGGCAACCACAAATCTATTGAGTTGATGGCAACCACAAAACTATTGAGTTGATGGCAACCACTAATCTATTGAGTTGATGGCAACCACTAATCTATTGAGTTGATGGCAACCACAAAACTAGTTGATGATAAAACATCCAATGACTGACAGACATCAATCAAGCAGCAGAAGACAGACTTACTATGACTGACAGACACCAAAAAGAGCGGAAGACAGACTTACTATGTAATGACAGACACCAGACAGACTTACTATGCCCTTGTTCTCATCCTTCATGTCTATCCTGTTGACCTTGAGCAGGTGGTAGCTGAAGTCCAGAGCTTCAAACCTCCGCTGTTGCCCCAGCAACGTGATGATGGTGCACCCCGCCCAGTTCAGTCCATCACCAAACAAAGCTCTGGACATCAAACATCAACATTTTTACTTTTGGGTTGTTTACAAAAGTGTACAAGAATTTATTGTCCAGTTTACTTGAAATACTTATATTCATGTTTTCCCATTTGTGCACAAACACAAGAGGCAAACAATCATCCAGAGACACATAATTGAGTTTTTTTTTTTAAAATTATGTTTAAATAATTTAAAACTACATTTAACAAATGACTTAAGGCAAATGTTTTTACAACAAAGAAATATTTCAAGCTTAAAGAGACTGATAAACAGTTTTGGTGAAAAAGCTGACAAATGACAAAACTTTGTTAAAACACAAAATTAGTGCATCCAATAGCTGTCAGCTGATGGAATTCTTCAATGAATGAATATTTTCAGTGACACATGTTTAACCTAATCACACTGGTGTCATGCTCATGAGACAACAAGTTTGACATACTCAACATTTGAGACATGCTTGACGTACTCAACATTTGAGACATGCTTGACGTACTCAACATTTGAGACATGCTTGACGTACTCAACATTTGAGACATGCTTGACATACTAAACATATGAGACAACAAGTTTGACGTACTCAACATATGGGACATGCTTGACATACTAAACATACAAGACAACAAGTTTGACATACTCAACATATGGGACATGCTTGACATACTAAACATACAAGACAACAAGTTTGACGTACTCAACATATGGGACATGCTTGACATACTAAACATATGAGACAACAAGTTTGACATACTCAACATTTGAGACATGTTTGACATACTAAACATACGAGACAACAAGTTTGACATACTCAACATTTGAGACATGCTTGACATACTAAACATACGAGACAACAAGTTTGACGTACTCAACATATGGGACATGCTTGACATACTAAACATATGAGACAACAAGTTTGACATACTCAACATTTGAGACATGTTTGACATACTAAACATACGAGACAACAAGTTTGACATACTCAACATTTGAGACATGCTTGACATACTAAACATACGAGACAACAAGTTTGACATACTCAACATTGAAGTCATGCTCTCCTGTTGGGATACAGTAGACAAACTGACACGCTGACCAAATGCGATGAAACTCGTCACATCTGTCCACATTCATCACCCCGTTGGCTGGGGGTTCACCCCTCCACAGGGGGTCGACCAGGAAAGTTTTGATGCGCTTGAGAAAATACTCAAAGATGGTCAAACCTCGACACAGCCTTTCTTTCGTCAGCTCTATCACATCAGTGGCCACTTTAGCTTGCTGACAAAATAAATTGTTTCTTTAACTTGCTGACAAAATAAATTGTTTCTTTAGCTTGCTGACAAAATAAATTGTTTCTTTAGCTTGCTGACAAAATAAATTGTTTCTTTAGCTTGCATACAAAATAAATTATTTCTTTAGCTTGCTGACAAAATAAATTGTTTCTTTAGCTTGCTGACAAAATAAATTGTTTCTTTAGCTTGCTGACAAAATAAATTGTTTCTTTAGCTTGCTGACAAAATAAATTGTTTCTTTAGCTTGCATACAAAATAAATTATTTCTTTAGCTTGCTGACAAAATAAATTGTTTCTTTAGCTTGCTGACAAAATAAATTGTTTCTTTAGCTTGCTGACAAAATAAATTGTTTCTTTAGCTTGCTGACAAAATAAATTGTTTCTTTAGCTTGCTAACAAAATAAATCATCTTAATACAACAACAGCCAAATGTTTGCTTTTATCAGAGCAACAAAAATGACAGTACTCTGTACATGAAAGATTGGCTAAAAAAATTATTCCTCTCTACAAATAAGGGGAAATTTAGTTTACCATTTGCATAATACAGGTGTGTTACCCCCATAACCACATGTGTGTTACCCCATAACCACAGGTGTGTTACCCCATAACCACAGGTGAGTCACCCCTAAAACAATAGGCTTGTTACCCCCATAGAAAACAGTCTCAGCAAAAAAAAAAAAACCTTACATTTTGCGTGCCCTGTTTCTCCACAACTGTGACTACATTCAGGTTAGAAAAATATTTTTCCAGGTGATTGATCACCGCCTGGGCCTGCACGTCAACTTTCTTCTCTTCATCTAAAGGAGAGGATAAATCAATCATTGGTTTCATCTAAAGGGTAGGATAAATATTTCAATCATTGATTTCATCTAAAGGGTAGGATAAATATTTCAATCATTGATTTCATCTAAAGGGTAGGATAAATATTTCAATCATTGATTTCATCTAAAGGGTAGGATAAATATTTCAATCATTGATTTCATCTAAAGGGTAGGATAAATATTTCAATCATTGATTCCATCTCGTGGGGGAGGATAAATATTTCAATCATTGATTCCATCTAAAAGGGAGGATTAATATTTCAATCATTGATTTCATCTAAAAGGGAGGATTAATATTTCAATCATTGATTCCATCTCGTGGGGGAGGATAAATATTTCAATCATTGATTTCATCTAAAAGGGAGGATAAATATTTCAATCATTGATTTCATCTAAAGGGGAGGATAACTATATCAATCAGTCATGCTGAAAATAAAAATGGCTGATCACTAAAACCTTTTGGCTTGATGGGCCGAGGAATGTGGTTTAGGAATGGCGCAGCTTGTTTCAAATCACACAGCTCATCTTGAAACTGAAACAAAATGGCATCAGTGATTGAGATTCAATCTAAGAGCACAATGAATGAGACCACAAATTCATTCAATCTATGGGCACAATGAATGAGACAAAAAACTCGTTCAATCTATGGGCACAATGAATGAGACCTAAATTCATTCAATCTATGGGCACAATGATTGAGACCTAAATTCATTCAATCTAAGAGCACAATGAATGAGACCTAAACTCGTTCAATCTATGGGGACAATGAGTGAGAGCACAAATTCATTCAATCTATGGTCACAATGAGAAGAACCTTAGAACTCACCAATGCCTGTTCAATCAACATACAGCACAAAATAGCGTTGCCGATCTGATTGAAATCATTAAAGACCATTGTTTTCAAATCAGAATAGGAAATCAAATCGACAAGATTTAGTTGATAGAAGCCCAGGATACCTGCAAACAGAGGTAAATGAGTGTTTTCATTAATTTAAAGTTCACATATTGGTTAACAATCTTAAACCCATTATATATTACTCTATTGAATAGACTATAGAAAGTAAAATAGGTAAAAATAAGAATGTATTCAAAATAAAATAGCAGTTTTCATTAAATTTTGCTTATGAATGAAATTATAAACCACTGAAATAAAAAGATTTTTTTGCGATGACATTTTTTAGTCGGATACAATGTATAATTTTCTATAGTTTACAATATTTTTGAGTGAGTTTACAACAAAATTAAATAAAGCCATTCACGTTTTGCTTACTTTTATTATGTTCTGCTTGATATTCTCAACGATTAGACAAAAAAGGTACGAATGGCAAGCTTGCATTAAACACTAATCGTCCATTGTTAAAATTAGATCGGTATCGTTGAATAATACGCAAAAATAATGATTATTAGTATATATTTTTTAAATGACTATCAAACATTGTTACAAAAGAAGTAGGTCAAGCAACAACCTAGACTAGTGTATAGCTGTGATTACCTGGTGAGCCATAGTTTTAAAAAATGATGACGGTAAAAGAAGCGACAACCTAGACTAGTGTATAGCTGTGATTACCTGGTCTAGTGTATAGCTGTGATTACCTGGTGAGCCATAGTTAAAGAGTGGCAGCTTCATCTGTGGTGGCATGACATTCATGATTGTTTTAACATACTCCAGTGTTGTTCCTTTCAGCTGATGGAAACAGAGTTTTTTTAAATTAAAAGTTGTAAACACAACAGATAATTTAACGGTTTTAATGGTTACATAATATGAAAAAAAAATTTACAATTTAAAATTTAAGTTCTCTAATGTTGTGCTACAAGCCATCAATGTTTTAAATAATTATGTAAGTGCAGAAATAAAATACAAAAACAAACGACCTATCGAAGATTAAAGAATCTCAACCAAGAAAGTGAAAAGTGCGGTGAAATAAAAACAACTGATTTACCAAAGATTCAACAATCTCCAACAAAAGGGAGATGACTGTGGCTATACCCTGGTAACCTAGTAGACGATACATGGCACCAAAGTGTGGCGCTCCAATAAATCCACTGTACAGGCCGTAGATCAATTTAAAAGACCGGTTCAAGTCCTGAAAGTTAGAAAAATAATGTCTCTACTGATGTCACATACCAATGAAAATATAACGCCTCGTCATGTCATTAGTGATATCTACCTTAAATGGTTTTTTAAATGATAGAAAATAGGAAGAAGTAGAATATTTTTGTTTATTAACATACTTTGAGTACAACAAATCTACAGCTAGCCTACAACATTTCAATAAGAATAAGCGTCTTGAGATGTGTTCAGCCTAGAGTCAAATGAGAACATCACCTTTGTTCCCCAGACATATTGAACTGACATCTGTGGGAGCTTTTCTCTTTTGACAGTTTCAAACTCTAACACACCCTTCACAAATCTGAAATGATACGTTGATCAGCATACACACAAAACATAAGACAACTTTAACATGTAGCAGCATTTCAAGGAATGCTGAATGTATGTAATAGCATGGCCAACTTTTATTTAATAACTGGGCCAATTTTAAATAAAAAATAGTTTGACCCACTTTTATTTAATAGTCTGGCCGACTTTTCAAGCTGTATAAATACCAAAATACAATTTATTTTTGGAGAGGAAAGATGGAATGTATTCCCTGTGGACCACTTAAAGAACGCACCTGCAGGTGGAGCTGTTGTAGCAGTAGTTAGGCAGGAGGTCACTCTTGATTTCCAGAAAAACCTGTAGAGTTATCCTCCTGATATTCTTCCCCTGGGTCTCGATGACGTTGTTGTTGGCCTCTAGGAGCATGGCATCAAAGTCAGTCAGTGACAGGTGTTCACTCATCAACTTGTGGGCTCTGCGGTTCACCTCTAGCAGACCCTCCAGCTCCTGTATGCCAGGTAAAAATAAGATCAAATCTATCTTTATGTAAACATTGGCCAATGGCAGAAACTATTTGCACTTTGAGCAGCCATTGAGTTGGGTCATTGAACAAGAAAAGGATAAATACTTTAGGTCCTATTATTCTTTTACATTATCTAACCCTGCTTCCCCCACCCTCTCCAAACTCATTTACTACTATTCCACTAATTCTAATCAGGCCCCCCCTCAACATACAATTATTCCAGTTATGTCCCATGAACGTATTATTATTCCAGTTATGTCCCCTGAACGTCTTATTATTCCAGTTATGTCCCCTGAACGTATTGTTATTCCATTTATGTCCCCTGAACGTACCATTATTCCAGTTATGTCCCCCGAACGTACCATTATTCCAGTTATTTCCCCTGAACGTATTATTGTTCCAGTTATGTCCCCTGAACGTACCATTATTCCAGTTATGTCCCCTGCTTCAAACCTTGTGATAGCGACATCTAGAGACTTTTGAATCAAACCGTTGACCATTGAGCTGATCAGACTGTTCAGATCAATGCTGCGACCCAGCAGCTAAAACAAGGCCAAATATTTTAGAATAAAATAAAATAATTTCTAGAATACAAAATCTGTCAAAGTATGAGTGCTAGAGGGAGAATGTCAGCACTGACCTGCATGTGCCTTAGCTTCAGCAATGTCTGGTATCTGTTGGATGGTGGGTAGTTCACCTTCAGATTCTGGCGCTTCGCCTCCGCATAAAACTTTTTGTCTAGCATGATGCTAAAAATAGGATAAAACAAATTGATAAAAACTAAAAAAACTAAACATATTTCAAGAATTTTTCAACAGTTTTCATAGCATGTAAGTGGACTAAAAGTTTGAGATGGATGGAATAACAGAGCTAATATGTACAACTCTAGAACCAGCAAGATGCACATGTTGAATGTTGTACTGATGACGCAGTTGTCCTACCTTGCTGCTAGCTGCTTGTAATAGGCAAATATCTGGTCGCTAAGTTTGTACACCAGCATGTCAAAACACAAGTTCACCTACAACAAAAAGGTCAAAAAGTTTACCTAGAGGACAAAACACCAAAAGTTCACCTATAACTAGAACATCAAAAAGTTTACCTAGAGGACAAAACACCAAAAGTTCACCTATAACTAGAACATCAAAAAGTTTACCTAGAGGACAAAACACAAGTTTACCTACAACAAAAAGGTGAAAAAGTTTACCTAGAGGACAAAACACAAATTCACCTACAACAAAAAGTTTACCTAGAGGACAAAACACAAGTTCACCTACAGCAAAAAGGTGAAAAAGTTTACCTAGAGGACAAAACACAAATTCACCTACAACAAAAAGTTTACCTAGAGGACAAAACACAAGTTCACCTACAACAAAAAGGTGAAAAAGTTTACCTAGAGGACAAAACACAAATTCACCTACAACAAAAAGTTTACCTAGAGGACAAAACACAAATTCACCTACAACAAAAAGTTTACCTAGAGGACAAAACACAAATTCACCTACAACAAAAAGTTTACCTAGAGGACAAAACACAAGTTCACCTACAGCAAAAAGGTGAAAAAGTTTACCTAGAGGACAAAACACAAATTCACCTACAATAAAAAGTTTACCTAGTGTGAGAATTGTTCGTGAACTGAGCACGAGATCAAACATTTGTTGTATCGTTTTTATTTTACAGGTCAGTTTTTAGTTGAAAGTAGCTACCAGAGTAGGAACCATCAACTTTATAAACTGGCATTGTATCAAATTCTTTTCATGTAAATTTAATTAAATATTTTTTTTTTGCATCTAGTGGAGCAATAAATGATGGTGAGGAAAAAAAATATGTACCTCTGCCTCAACCTCATCGTAAAGAAATTGTTTCTTGAACTTGAGAAGTGCATACTGAGCGCTGTCATTGTACAAATCCAGAGGGTACAAAATATACCTGTATACAGAGGGTACAAAATATACCTGTATACAGAGGGTACAAAATATAGGCCTACATGTACAAGGAGGGGACAAAATATACATCAGGAAAAAATTGTATTATCATTCAATCACTCAACAGCTAAACAGACTAAAAACTCCTGGAGTACTTTTATAAAACCCCCACTTTGTTCTAGGGTGCTCAACTGGCCACAAAATCCTAGAGTAATTTTATAAGATTCCCTATTTGTTCTACAGCTCCCAGACACAATCAGCTGTCTTAACCACTGCTTGAACAATGAGTTTCTGTACATTTAAACAAACAACTCACTCCATCATTGAGGCTTCCTTGGTCTCCAGGATGTGATCTGTTAGTATCCAAGGCATCGACATCTCAATGGGGAACTGGGAAGTTTTTAAAAATACATTTTAACTGTGTTCAAAACAGTTAAGGGAAATTAAACGAGAATTCTTTTTCTATACGCTAACATTACTTTGAAGTCACGGAAGACATCAAGACAAATGTTAGAAGTTCTCAAGCCAAATCTACCTGTATCTTGTGGCCCATGGTCATCTCCAAGAAAAACTCTCGGTACCACAGCTGTGAGAGGTCACCACAGTTGAATAGTGACTCTAAAAACATACATTTAAAGAATTATGGAACAATATTCAAAACACACAAGCTAATAATAAAACATTTAGAATATAGTTTAAAAAATCTATTTTAAAAATTAAAGAGAAAACATTTAAACACTGATAAATTAAACATAAACAACCAACAATTATTTTTAAAAACTGATAAACAACCAAAAATTATTTGCCACATAAATTATTAAAAAAAACAAGCTTTTATTTATTGTGTTATAAATTACTGACCACCAATAGCACTTAAACTGACCATCAATAGCACTTTAACTGGCCATCAATAGCACTTAAACTGGCCATCAATAGCACTTTAACTGACCATCAATAGCACTTAAACTGACCACCAATAGCACTTAAACTGGCCATCAATAGCACTTTAACTGGCCATCAATAGCACTTTAACTGACCATCAATAGCACTTAAACTGACCATCAATAGCACTTTAACTGACCATCAATAGCACTTAAACTGGCCATCAATAGCACTTAAACTGGCCATCAATAGCACTTAAACTGGCCATCAATAGCACTTAAACTGACCATCAATAGCACTTAAACTGACCATCAATAGCACTTAAACTGACCATCAATAGCACTTAAACTGACCATCAATAGCACTTACCATTGAAGTTGAGCAGGTAGTGCCAGAAAAAAGACTTCCTGTGAAACTCCTCAATGGCTGCGATGTGCTCCTTCCTCAAGTTTTTTTTGCCTCCACTTTTTTCATCAATCAGTGACTCCAACATTGTACGCACCATGTAGAGCTGGAAAGTTGAAAGTTTCCACATATGGCTGTCTCAATTGAAAGTTACCACATATGGTGGTCTCAATTGAAAGTTACCACATATGGTGGTCTCAATTGAAAGTTACCACATATGGTGGTCTCAATTGAAAGTTACCACTTATGGTGGTCTCAATTGAAAGTTACCACATATGGTGGTCTCAATTGAAAGTTACCACATATGGTGGTCTCAATAGATAGTTACCACATATGGTGGTCTCAATTGAAAGTTACCACATATGGTGGTCTCAATTAAAGTTACCACTTATGGTGGTCTCAATTGAAAGTTACCACATATGGCTGTCTCAATTGAAAGTTACCACATATGGTGGTCTCAATTGAAAGTTTGACTTACCATAGTGGATGAGGGTCCAATGTTTCTGTGGTTGATCTTGATGGAAGTTCCATTAGGCGGGTCCTTCTTGCCACTAAGTGCTGGATCATTCTTTGGCTCCGCCCCATCCAGCCAATCAACACACGTCTCCCGCACAGCCAAAATTATTCTAAATATTTACAGCACATATAATGCTAAATATCTAAATTAAGATAAAATATAATGCTAAATATCTCAATTTAGAACAAATATAATGCTAAATATCTCAATTTAGAACAAATATAATGCTAAATAGAAAAATGTACAGAGAAATGAAGCTAAACATAGAACACATTTAGTTAAAAACCAACTGGAAATACAATTTATTTGAAAGCAGGTCAAGAAATATAACAAATATACTTACGCCCTGGTTATGTCCTTTTTATTTTTTGTTGCCTTACGCAGTGGTTCTCTTAGGAAAACTTGAATGAACTCCTGAAGTTCAGTGTATATGTGGTATCTAATGGCATCCACAAAAATGGGTTCCATTCTTGACATCAGAAGTTGCAGCCCTTTGATCATAGCTATGATTTCAACCATTGCTACTTTTTCATCACTGCTATAGTTGTAGCGGGTAGCCTAAAAATGACAAAAAATCCATTGATAAGCACTATGATAGGAACAAATATAACAAGAAACTACAGCAATAATAAAAATATAGGCTATTTACAAAACAAGTCTTAATTTTTGGCAGCCAAAAATTAAATATTTTGTATATTAAAAATATTTAACAATTGGAGAAGGAAAATACCAGATCCAAGTTTTTAAATACCCAATAAAACAAAACAACTTACTTTCTCATACCCTTCTGCTTCTTCTGGACAATTTTTATTTACTGCAGGATCTGTGGGGTTCATCAACTTCCAGGAATACTACAGGAAAAACGTGGCAGTGTTTTATTTTTACATTCAGTCAACCTTTTTTGTTTGTTGAAAATATTTGGTACAATCAAAGATTTAAGATAATAAGCCTGTGCCTTACTAATAGATTAATTATAACAAATTTTAACTAAACTCTAACTTAAATTAAATTTACAAGTTCCATGATGTGTTATGTCAACTTTGATTCAACTCAAGTCAAAATAAAAATGTACATTTGATTTAACCTATAAATTAAAATAAATTTACAAGTTCCACGATGTGTTGTGTCCACTTTGACAGAAGAGTTAACCCTCGTAATGCCAGATCTGTCAGCGTTTTGTTTTCTTCATTTCTTCTCAGTGAGTCTGGCACCATTGAAGCCGTCTGCAACATAAATGTTCAAACATCAATAAACACTTAAAGTTTTACATAAAATAGAAAGAAGGCATTAGAAATTTAAATGATAACCAACTAACCTCATTAGAGTACTTTGAGATCTGGCTGATGTACTTCATGTGGCTCTCTCTGACTGTGTCCAGCCCGGCCAGGATGTTGGACTGAAGGCTCGGCTGACTGGATTCACATGCTGGCCACTTGGATGGGTCAAAGTGTGGACCATTCTTAATATAACCATAGGGCGCAACCATCATATCGCCATATAATGGGACCATTTCCAATTGCTGGGAAAACAAAAACAAGTTTTTGATTTAACCAATAGTAAAGTTCTAAAACAGGGAAAGTTGTAACTAGGATACCTACAGTTGACTAAAAAGTTGTTTGCAGAACATTTCCTATGACCCATACAACCTTTTTAAACCATTTTTACCACAATATAATAAATATTTACTCTAGTTAATGATAATATTTGTCTCCACTTATTATACTGGGTATTGTTTGCAAGCTAGATTTATGAGCTTTACTCAAACATAATATAGAAATTAAACACTGGAAAGTAGTTTGTAAATTGTAGCTTCAATTTTAAAAGTCTTAGGTTTTTGAAAATTGATTTTAAAAAAAATTGATTAAATTTTTTTTAAGTAGTTGATGTTTTATAAGGTTTTTATGACAGCAAAAATATATTTTTAAGTTTAAAGCGGACTATGATGAGCCAAATAAGGTAAGGTTCAGAAAATATTTATTATTCACTTATAATTTAAAATATAACGTGCCAATAGCTAGCATTCAAAGTAAAAGTACCTTTAGAACTTTGTCTATTCTGGAGAGGTTGATTTTCTTTTTTTCATTCATCCGATAAATGTTAGGACCAGTTTCTAGGTTCATCATAAACAAACCAAAAGCTATGACCTGTAACAAACAAAGTCATAAACAAACCAAAAGCTATCACCTGTAACAAACAAAGTCATAAACAAACCAAAAGCTATGACCTGTAATAAACAAAGTCATAAACAAACCAAAAGCTATGACCTGTAACAAACAAAGTCATAAACAAACCAAAAGCTATGACCTGTAATAAACAAAGTCATAAACAAACCAAAAGCTATGACCTGTAACAAACAAAGTCATAAACAAACCAAAAGCTATGACCTGTAACAAATAAAGTCATAAACAAACCAAAAGCTATGACCTGTAATAAAGTCATAAACAAACCAAAAGCTATGACCTGTAATAAACAAAGTCATAAACAAACCAAAAGCTATCACCTGTAACAGTCAATATTTTTGCGGGTTACCAAGATAACCAATACTGGTATGGAAGTAAGGATTTTTAAATTTACATTTTGATCCTCAAACAATCAAGATTGTCAGGGGATATTACTCTGAATTCCTCAACCAGGAACTACTTAGTCAATAAATTCACTTTCAATTGTATTGGTTTAATTGAAAGTTTTTTCAACACTTGAGTCAGGCACCCAATCACATAAGCCTATACACAAGTCAATATTTTTAAGAGTTTGGAATCAGCAACATACACATTAATAATTAAACTAATAAAAGTAAAAATCCATAGAGCTAAAAGACTAATAAAACTTAAACTTTAAGGTTAAACACATTTAAATAAAATAACTAATGAAACTAAAAAGCCAGATAATTTATGAGTGCCATAGAGCTATGAGACTTATAGAACTAGAATTGCCAGTCACACCACACAATTCCTTACCTTAACCAGCATGTGTTTCTCAGAGGGTTCTAGGTACAAATCCTTCTCATACATGTTGAGGCAGATGTTGACGACGTCGGCCAAAATCTCCTCATAGCCCTACAGATAAAAAGTTTGTATGTAATGACTGGTACTCCAACCTAAGCTGGAAGCATGTGTGTACACACTTAACTGTTTCAAATGCTAGAGAGTTCTAATGCTTGCATGCAGTGAAAATTAAAACTTAGCTGTTACCTGAATCTGAGACAAAGATGATTTTAAGGTGTCTCTGATCTTATTTTGTGTGGCTAAACTCAGGGACAAGATCCCAAATTCTTGCATCTCATTTTGATCAGGATTTACTAGCTGGGCAGCACTATTGAGAAAATTTTAAAATAATTAAGTCTTTTAACAATTCAGTACTTATCAAAATAATAGTTTATTGATGTATTTATCTGTTAACTTTATCCAAACTTTTTAACAATCAAAAGATAATTTAACAAATGTAAATTTAAACAACATATTTTCCACTCTAAAGTAACTAAATCAGAATGTCTAATCTACGCTAGAGTTATCCTTCATGACTTTAGTCAATACCCACTGTATTTAGTGTTAGAGCAATCTACAGAGATAAATATCAAAGGTGTCCTATGGCTGTATTTAGTGTTAGAGCAATCTACAGAGATAAATATCAAAGGTGTCCTATGGCTGTATTTAGTGTTAGAGCAATCTACAGCAATAAATATCAAAGGTGTCCTATGGCTATGTTATGTGAGCTAACTCATTCTCTTGTAAGTGCAGTCTAATGGTAAACGTGGTGTTGTTATACAGTACAAGCTAGTATAGGCTATACGGAGCAGTACATGCTAGTATAGATTATACGGAGCAGTACAGGCTAGTGTAGATTATACGGAGCAGCCACACAAGGCAATCAACAAGGGTAGAATCAGGTCTGGTCAATTAATGTGATAGGGCCTTTATGTCAATTAATATGATAGAGCCTTTATGTCAATTAATAATTATAAAGCATTTATGTCAATTAATGTGATAGAGCCTTTATGTCAATTAATATGATAGAGCCTTTATGTCAATTAATATGATAGAGTTTTTATGTCAATTAATATGATAGAGTTTTTATGTCAATTAATATGATAGAGTTTTTATGTCAATTAATATGATAGAGTTTTTATGTCAATTAATATGATAGAGTTTTTATGTCAATTAATATGATAGAACCTTTATGTCAATCAATATGATAGAGCTTTATGTCAATTAATATGATAGAGCCTTTATGTCAATTAATTTGATAGAGCCTTTATGTCAATTAATATGATAGAGCCTTTGTGTCAATTAATATGATAGAACCTTTATGTCAATTAATATGATAGAGCCTTTATGTCAATTAATATGATAGAGTTTTTATGTCAATTAATATGATAGAGTTTTTATGTCAATTAATATGATAGAACCTTTATGTCAATTAATATGATAGAGCCTTTATGTCAATTAATGTGATAGGGCCTTTAAATCAATTAATGTGATAGGGCCTTTAAATCAATTAATGTGATAGAGCCTTTAAATCAATTAATGTGATATGGCCTTTAAATCAATTAATGTGATAGGGCCTTTAAATCAATTAATGTGATAGGGCCTTTAAATCAATTAATGTGATAGGGCCTTTAAATCAATTGATATGATAGAGTTTTTATGTCAATTAATATGATAGAACCTTTATGTCAATTAATATGATAGAGCCTTTATGTCCATTAATAATGATGCAGTATGCAAATATACAGAGATAAAATGCAAGATACTTTAACAGGTAATAACAGATGCACTTCAATACACTTAAGTACTGCATCTTCAGAGGTCAGTTGGTCATCTCATGTCCCCAGTGGTAAGATAGCCATTTAGCACACACTTACAATATGGCCGATTAGCCCACTATTTCTATGTTCCCATTTGTCAGAGGCCATCACAGCAGAATCTGATTGTAAATTATTTTATTTCTAATCACTACCACGCAGGTAGAGAATGACATTTCTGCACTAAATAGTGTGAGTGGAAATCATGGGGACAGCAAACAGAAAAATTAGTCTAGAGATAAAAGCCATGGGTTAGTATGAGAGATATAATAATATACGTGGTCGTGTGGATCAATAGAATATGACAAGGGAATATCTAACAATATATGTAGTCATATGGTCAATAGTATATGACAAGGGAAGATCTAACAATAAATGTGATTATCTGGGACTTGTGTCCAAAGGATGCCATGTCAGTCCTCCCAGCTCTAATTTAGGGAAAATAAAAAGGCAAATTTTCATAGACCATACAAGCCCTTCATATGCCATGGTTGTACAATCAGATGAGCTACATTTTATCTTTGATTGAACTTCTCACTTCACCAGTACAAGACACATGTAAATATAACAAACAAGGAAGTTTGAACTGCAAGTTATGTAAACCAGTTTTTGGTGTACTTTCTAGACTAAAATAGTCTCTTTAACTATACATTAGTTGGGTTTAGCAATCTACATGAAAAGCATAATTTTTAGTATTTTCAGTATGTCATGAAGCTCTTGCTTAGGATTTGCCTATAACAGGAAACATGCATTTTTATAGCCCAAGGCAGTGGTGTAGGCAGAATGGTGTTAACACCCCCCCCCCCAAACATGCAAAATGATACCTCTAAACATAGAGATAGTTTAATATCAAAAAAGATTTTTTTGAAAACAAAATCCTGCCTATGTCACTGACCCAAAGTAATTTTTTAAAAAGTTTAGGGAAATTTGAAAGTTCAGCTTATATATATATATATATATATATATATATATATATATATATATATATATATATATATATATATATATATATATATATATATATATATATATAAATTTTTCTAGCCGTGTTGAAAAAAGGAAATGAAGCTGTTGAAAATATTTGGTGGAAGCGGTTATTTGAATAATTAAAGCTGTAAAGAGCGGTTATAAAGGGTGATGTTAAAAATAGCATCTGGGTTTTTCTCCAAGGGAGGCGACTGTTACCGTTTGTAAACAGCAAAGTCATTGTTGACACTGGACTTCATGTTGATTAATTCATTTAAGACGGCAAACATGTTGAGCAGTTTGCCTAAAGTTAGAAGGTACGCTTCAGATACAAAGTCATTTTTGGCACCTTTATTAGACAAACGCTTGATTTCATCACAGAAGAGCTGTATTGCTTTCACCTGTAAAACATTTCCCTATAAAACTAGTGACAATTGCTTTCACCTGTAAAACATTTCCCTATAAAACTAGTGACAATTGCTTTCACCTGTAAAACATTTCCCTATAAAAATAGTGACATATGCTGGAACTAGCTTGCCTTAATGTCAAATTGTATTTTATATGTTTATATTCTATATTTAATATTTAAAAAAAAATTATAATGAATACAAACAAAATGTATTGAAATATTTATTTTAAGTGGCAGTCAACATGATAGAGTTTTAGAACCTTAAAGTTAAACCTGCTGACAAATGTGGTACTAGTAATTTTTATGTTTGTTTTTTTAATATTGATTTTAAATTCTTTTTTTATCATTCAAGTACAAACATTCAAGCATCCCTTGTGCCATTTTAGAGAACTTAGTGACAAAGCTGCAACATATTTACAATACAAATACAATTCTATCACAAATGACATGCAGTTATGTTCTATAACATGCCTTAACTGGCAGGCATTTACAGATGGGTAAAATCTTAATGATGCCATCAAAAAAATGATTCAGAATTTTAAAAAAAAAATGAAATAACTAAAAAAATAAAATAATGGCCAATGTAAAAAATTAAAATGAAATAAATAAAAACAAAATATAATGGCCTATGTAAAATGAAATAAATAAAAACAAAATATAATGGCCAATGTAAAAAATCAGACTCTTCAGACCTGGAAGTTTAAAAACTTTCTAAGTTTGAGGATGTAAGGCTCCAACACTTCTACAGTGTGTTCATAGATCTCTTTTCTGTTCTCCTGGCTGTTGCTTTTAACCTGAAAGCAAAATTTAAATCAGAGTCTTGGCCTACAGTGCATTAAATAATATCACGAGACAGAGAAAAAAATTCATGTCACAAGTTTAATTAGTTGTGAATATTTTTATATTGGAAATCAGTTTACATTATCAACTAATGATCTTCCATGGCAAAAGAGAAAGATAAAAATTATTATATTGTATATCTCATTTGATAGATTTTTTTTGGAAATTCAAGTTACAATAAAACAGTATCCTGAACTTTTGTTATTCATTAAATGAGTCAATGATAAACATTTTCATTAACTCCCAAGGTAGGGTAACGACCACTGAGGGATTAACGAATTACCAGTGACTAACAAATTACCAGTGACTAACAAATTACCTGTGACAGACTAACAAATTAACAGTGACTAACAAATTACCAGTGACTAACAAATTACCTGTGGTAGACTAACAAATTACCTGTGGTAGACTAACAAATTACCAGTGACTACAAATTACTGGTGACAGACTAACAAATTACTGGTGACAGACTAACAAATTACCTGTGACAGACTAACAAATTACTGGTGACAGACTAACAAATTACCTGTGACAGACTAACAAATTACTGGTGACAGAACTATCAAATTACCTGTGACAGACTAAAAAAATTACCAGTAACTAACAAATTACCAGTGACTAACACATTACCAATTACCTATCTATGACAGACTAACAAATTACCTCAGACAGTGGAATTCCCCGTGAACAGCACCTCCATGTGTAGAGCATAATTGCATATTCTTCCCCCTCTTCCAGCAAAAGATTCTGTCGACAGTTAAACACAATTTTTCAAACGTTTTAAATATTTCTAATTTTGTGAAAACAATTTAATATACTTAGAGGGTAAATTGTGTATTAAAATAAAAACGGATTGATTACCAGATCAGCCTGTAGAGTAGCCTGCTCCTTATACTTGGCCACGCTAGTAACAAAAGCATTTTTGTCCTCAAAGTTTGTGTCAAAATTAGCTCTGTACTGGATGGAGAGTGAGACGGCTTCAATGCATGGCTGCTGATCCCTGAGGTGAACTTCCCCCAACTCCTCCACTTTTTGAAGGGCGTCCTTCAGAGTGGTTGTTTCCCCAGACATTTTGATGCTAACAGCTCAACCACTTCGTTTCAAATAGATTTCATTCTGCAAAAATAACTAATGCATTACAAATATTAAGATCTAGTTAAAGTTGTGTGGTTCTCTCAGTCAGTCAGGTAAGTCATTGATGTATGAGTATACTAAAAAATAAAAGAAAAACCTGACAACTAAATTCATTACTACTAGAGTACTAGAACATACACTTTAACACAATATCACCAATTATAACAAAATGTTAACACAGCATCACCAATTATAACAATACTTTATACTTTAACACAGTGAGCCTACTGTCAATGAGTGTCTATGGCACTAGATCTAATTGATTAAAAAAAAGAAGCAGGTCTATGCAACAAACTAGATCTACAAATAATTAGATCTATATCTGTATTACCTTCCTCTATCATTTGCATCTAGGCATACACTGGCCTACATACACTATTGGCCATTGAAATTATATATATATATATATATATATATATATATATATATATATATATATATATATATATATATATAAGCCTTATATATATATATATATATATATATAGGCCTATCTATAAATATATATAGGCCTATACTATATATATAGTATTATATAAGCCTATATATTATATAATATATATAGTATATAGGTATATACTATATACAGTGGCATCCCTAGGTCAGGTGTCACCCGGTGCGGCACTTCATGGTCTCACCCCCCCCCCCCCCAGAAACAAAGTATATATATATATATATATATATATATATATATATATATATATATATATATATATATATATATATATACATATATATATATATATATATATATATATATTAGTGTGTATGTGTGTGTGTCAGTCTACATAAGCCTATAATTTAAATATATTCAACATACGGGTACATGTATGTGTATAAGCTTTAATCACTGCAGACTTGATGGTAACGATGTTTATCTATAGTCTGTATATTTTGCAATTTTTTGCCTTGGTGTCACCCCCTTACATGGTGTTACCCGGTGCAGTCCGCGCTCCTCGCCTCGCCCTCGCTACGCCTCTGACTATATATATATATAGTATTATATAAGCCTATATATTATATAATATATAAAGTATATAGTACAATATAGGCCTATAGTTTTTATATATGTTTATAGTTTATAGGCCTATATATATATTATTATTACATATATAGGCCTATATTATAAACATTTACACCATGGACTATCAGCCTCAAAAAGGGAACTTTATTTTTATATATAATTAGGCATATTTATTATATAGTATATAGGCTATTATAGGCCTATATATACTATATAGTAATATAGTGTATATAGATCTACAATCTACATTAATGAAATTGATTAGCTAGATTAAGATTTCTCTATAAAAAATCTAGATTTGAGATTAAGGCATCCATTAAGGCACAGCATCTAGAGTCCAGCTAGTTCTAGGCTATTGTAGATAAATTATTAAATTTTGGATATCTAACTTTACTTAATTATTAATGTAAGTTTATAACTGATAACTAGAAGAAGCTGTACCAGATCTAATACTAGTCTAGCTAATTAAATAAGTAGGCCTACTACAGTACTACTACTGTTTACTGCTAATTTAGTTAGGCCAATTTAATTTATTTTATAAATAGATCTAGATCTAGATCTAGACTACATAGATCTACTAACTGAGTTCTAGATCTAACTACTCTACAGTTTAGTAGGTCAGCTTAGTTTAGTGTAGTGTGTAGGCCTATTTAGTATTTAAACTATTTAGTGTATTTAGGGCCTATACTTACTACTTAACTAGATGTCTGCTGATGTGTAGGCCCTAAGCCCTAATCACTGTCACCTAATCTAGAGATCTAGATCTAGACATCTAGTTACTTACTACTTACTCAAGTTAGAAAAAAACAGTCAACAAAATAATAAATATTTCATTTAAAAATATTAGGCCTAATATAGGCCCTAGCCCTAATTCAACGTCTGCAATAAACTCCGAAGTGAAAATGACACTCATGAGTTAGTAGAACTAGGTTAACATTGCTTTTTTTTAAATTACTGGACACTCAAAATGAAGTGAATCAATTAAGTGAAGGGGAAACTTTCAGTTTATTTAATAAACATCCTCGTAGATCTGAGCAGTACTTTGGTCTAGTTGCGTACCCCCCCCCCCTTTTTTTTTTCCTTACAGGTTATGACGGACTACGGAGGTAGCCTAGCTCTAATAAATAATTAAAATAATACTTCCGTCTTAGCGCGGAATGTATCCAGGCTTTACATTGTAGGCCAAAATCTCGCCTACTAGAATCAAGTACATACACTTTGAAAAATGAAACCGTTTAGTTTAGACCTAGAAAGTCTAAATCTAGATCTACCACCCTCTACCCCAGGAAACATGTATGAATGATATGATACCCTGATTAATAATTATTGTGTAGGGGGTACACTAGTTAAAGTAAGTATATTTTTTTCTGTATACATTTTTTTTTCTATTTCGTTCGGGGGGGGGGGGGGGGGGAGGGGGGGGGGGGAAATAAATATGAAAGCACAAAAAGTGACCTCTCCGCCCAAGGCGAGTGTCTTCCATAGACCAGATGCATTTCTCCTTTCGATAGGCTATCGAAGTTGTTCCCCTTTACACATCTGTCATCAGGTGGAAAAAAAATAAAATTGGCTAACGCTAATATTTCTCTTGTGGTCAAGGTTTTTAATTATAGTTTTGTAGGTGTAATTAATTTTGAATGAAAATATTAATAATGTGGTTTTAAAACCAATCATGTGCCCCATGTATTGCACTGCAGTAAATATTTAACTCAACTTATCAACAAGTTAAGATCTAACTGATTTAAACAGGGTGCTACAACTTTGGTGGTGGTCAGCCAAAACTATTTTGTGGTTAGCTGTTACAGTTAGAGCCTCACTGAAGATGAAACTGTTATAAATAGTTGATAGAACCTAATGGTTCTGAGTTAATTGATGACAATTTTCACATAGATTTTAAACATATTTCCGTCCTTACAATACTTACATGTAATAAATTCTTCTGGAAAATATATATTGCAATATTCCATCCAGATAAACAGATGAATCTAGTGAAATATATAAATATGTATATATATATATATATATATATATATATATATATATATATATATATATATATATATATATGTATATCTGTATATTTAAAATATGGTTAAGTTTAAAACATTTTTAATTATGGGTAAACTGCCAGATATTAAATTCCAATTGCCAACTACATTGGTATAAAATGTTGACTGTTACGTTGTTTTAAAATATTGATGTTGGCCACTACATTGCTATAAAATGTTGCGTCCTCCTTCACAATGTTGCAGTGCTAAGCAAAGAAACAATTAGTTGTTACCTACTTGATGTTGGAGTGTTACACATATTTTATACTTATTGTTTTTCCCCAGATATAATCCATAATTTGAAGCGTGTTTACCTCTGCCTCAGTATCAAAGGTGGGAGGTACATCCAGACGGATCCAGTGACATTGCAAAAATATTCACATAATGCACACGTAATATGAATAGCAATACACCAATATAGAAAATATCCTCCTTCACAATGTTGCAGTGCTAAGCAAAGAAACAATTAGTTGTTACCTACTTGATGTTGGAGTGTTACACATATTTTATACTTATTGTTTTTCCCCAGATATAATCCATAATTTGAAGCGTGTTTACCTCTGCCTCAGTATCAAAGGTGGGAGGTACATCCAGACGGATCCAGTGACATTGCAAAAATATTCACATAATGCACACGTAATATGAATAGCAATACACCAATATAGAAAATAAGGAAAAACTTGAATTAAAATTTTTTTTGTCTCCAACATTGTTTATCCACAGATGTTTCAATCGATTAGGATGGATTATCCTAATTATTACAAACATTTGAGTAAATATATAATTTGTAAATTAGGAGTGGGGAGGTGACAATATTTATTGTTTTTACAAGGCTGGAGCAACGATGACAAATTTGGAAACCACATAGTAGGATGACCCTCTCCTTAACCACAGGTCACACCCCTATTAGTATGACAGGTCACATCCATAGTAGGATGACCCTCTCCTAAACCACTGGTCACTTCCCTATTAGTATGGCTTGTCACACCCCTATTAGTATGGCTGGTCACACCCCTATTAGTATGGCTGGTCACACCCCTATTAGTATGGCTGGTCACACCCCTATTAGTATGGCTGGTCACACCCCTATTAGTATGGCTGGTCACACCCCTATTAGTATGGCTGGTCACACCCCTATTAGTATGGCTGGTCACACCCCTATTAGTATGGCTGGTCACACCCCTATTAGTATGGCTGGTCACACCCCTATTAGTATGGCTGGTCACATCCATAGTAGGATGAGCCTCTCCTCTATCTAATCAATAGCAGTGTCACAGTAAACTTAATCCTTTGACTTACACAAGGCTCACAAGACTTTAATTCAAATCTATTTTAAAACAGAAATGCAATGTGGATCAAGTTATTAAAATATATTTTTATTTATTTATATATAGAACTTAAAAAATAATATTGTGCGCTTTTCATCCTTTAATGCAAAATAAATCCATACGAAAAACATAAATCAAACTGTCACTTCTGTTTCCAACCAACCTTTATCAATTGAATATTTTCATACATGCAAGCATCATTTCCACTAACAGAGTTGATACTAGCCAGCAGGTTTAGTTGACAATCAGCTATTTAAATGTTAAGTGATTCATCTAACACAAGAAGGCATAGAGAGAATTCAGTATAAAAATAATAAATTTGTAAAGGTATAAGATTAAATACCTTACATATTTTATCAAAATCAAACAAAAATCATTTACTGTCATCAAAAAACAACTTTGGATAAAAAAGGTTCATCAGTGTTATATGTACATATAAATAATACAACCTGCTCTAAGTTCATGCACAGTAGTCTATGTGCTATAAATAAGAGATAGTGAGTCTCCATTGCTTACATATGCAGATTGTGTGTAATATGACCATGTAATGTAGTTGTGTGATGTGAATATGTTTGATGTAATTGTACGAGATTATAGTTGAGATGGGGAAGACACAGACTGTGTGATGATCCATCCTGTCATATGAAATGTGATTGTGTCATTTGAGTGTGTGTGGTGTGAAATGTGATTTTGTCATTTGTGTGTGTGGTGTGAAATGTTATTGTGTCATTTGAGAGTTTGTGGTGTGAAATGTGATTGTCATTTGTGTGTGTGTGGTGTGAAATGTGATTGTGTCATTTGACTGTGTGGTGTGAAATGTGATTGTGTGTGATCCTTGTTGAGATGGGGAAGTCACAGACTGTGTGATGATCCATCCTGTCATATGTAATGTGATTGTGTCATCTTACTGGTGTGAAATGTGATTGTGTGTGATCATCGTTGAGATGAGGAAGACACAGACTGTGTGTGATATTCCATTCTGTCATAAGTTCTTTGATAACCTACAGAAAATAGTTATATTTACTATAAAAAATAAACAAGTAACCTCAGAACATTAACTGCTTTTACCTTTAAAAAAAGTAGGCTTTTTTTTAGCAAAACAAAATAGCTTCAATTAATTTATTTTACAAGACTTACTTTTACAACAAAGTACTCACCAAAAGGAAAGTATTTGACAACCATTTCTATACTTGTACTGAATTTTAAAACCCTGACAGCCTAAAAAGTTTCAAACATGTTTTAATTAAATAGACAAATCAAATAAAGAAAAAGTGGGCACATCTGCTAAACTTTATTTTAATCAGTCTTTCCTTGGCATTGTCTATGATGTCAAAATACTACACTGATATAGATCTATTAAATTATTTAGGTTTACCTCAGCATGGTCTAAGGTGCTAAAATCAATATTGTTCACTTTGAGTATTTGATCACCCTCTTTGATTCCCAGATTTTCTGCTTCACTATTTGGCATTACCTACAACATAAATTCATTAACAATATTAGAGGTCGGTTGCTTAGGATTTTTAAGATTAACACACACAAAAAATAATGAATAAGATAAATGAAGATAACAGCATTATTCAGAAAATTAACACAATGCTTTAAAATATATTCTTAAAAATGTAAAATTACTTTTGAAACAAAAAATCCAAAATTGTGTTCTTTTCCACCTCGGATATTAAAGCCAAGCTGAAAAAGATGAAAAAGTCAAATATGTAACTTCTACAAAGAGTAACTTTGTTTAACAACAGTTGTAGTGTATATTCTAATGCCTCGTTTAAGAGCAGACAAATTGTTTTGAAATGGCTAATTAAAACTCATTATTTCATTGATCAAGAACAACTATTCTACAACAGGACACTACTGAAATTGTTTTTTGTGGCATCGCTACCCCAATCTTAACCAAAATAACAAAGGAACAAAACCTTGATACCATGTAGTTTTGTGTAGAGCACTGGAATATCAGGTACTTACAGCATCAGAAGCCTTTTGTCTTTTCAGATATATAGTTCGAGGTAAAAACATTTGCAGATCGTTGTTGTAATCTCTATGGTGCATTCACTTAAAAAAATATTTAATTAGTTAAAAATTTTGGATGGTAAATAAATGTATTGATATATAATTTTGTCATCATTCAGCTTTTCAAGATATTTCAGTAACAAGTCTTACAGTCTAATGTCAAACACATTCATGTTTTTTCAACACACGTGCTTGTTATCCAGCCACTGACTTCAGTGTTTTTCCAGACATTTTTCTCCGGGGGGGGGGGGGGGGGGGGGGGGTGTCAACATTTTTTGGGGAGGCGTACAATAGTAAAAGTGTATGTTTACTATATAACATCCATCTCGTTCGGGGGGGGGGGGGGTAGACTCTCTTCGGGAGGCTCTGCCCCCCCCTCCCCCCGAAGAGATGCCTGGAAGAAACTCTGACTGACTTGAGTGATACTAGATCAATAAGCAACAAGAAACAAAACAATGGTTTGGTAATTTCAGTTTTCTGGGTTTGTTTGCTTATAGTCATAGCTACCACCTTATAAATTGGAGTCCATTTTTGCTTCATCAAGTGGTAGAAGGCTGGCTGTCTATAGTAATTACTAATTTCCCTCCATATTAATTACACGTTGGTTGCCATTTTGATAATTACTTCATTTGAATCGTTTGCCATGCAACAATGTTTTAGTCAAAAACAATTAATTAAATCTATTTTTGTTTCAAATAATTCATAACAATAAAATATTTCAAATAACAAATAACGTTTTTAAAAAATCCATTATTTATAGCATTTTGGTTCTTTTAAACATAAAGGCCCTATAGCTTCAATAAATTTTCTAAGCAAATAAAAAAAATGAAACAAACCAATCAGCACTTATGTTTTAATTTATGAAGTGACGACGCGGATCGCTGATCGTTCAGAGTATTATTTGAATTCTGTAGGACGCATTCAAAAATTTGGGATTTGCCATCTGAATTAAAAAAGCTTATTATTTTGTTTACTAGCACATCTGGTGTGGTAGAGTCGACGTGCGGTAGTTACGTTCATAGCCCTTAAGCTCAGAGTTCAAACCCGGGGTTAGCATGGCCTATATACAGTACCTTTTGAAATCTATTTTTTTCATATTGAAAATGTCAAGTGTAATTTTTTTTTTCAAACTTTTAAAATTTTTATAAAATTTCCAAACTTTTTCACTCGCATGATTGCTTGCTTACGTTTTCTAGCCTGCTGGAGAAAAATCCAACCATGGCAGGCGTATAGTAGATCTATAAGAATAAGTCATAGATATTCATATAGGCCTCCTAATGATTATATTTATATATTATAATGAACCCAATTTCTATTTGAGATTGTCTGTGTCTTCACTTCTCTCTCTTTTAGATCGAGTGCTACTTAGTACATAGATCTAGTCACTAGTGGTAATATAGTACATAGACTTTAGAGAGTAGGTTTAACGAAATTAACGGACAGCAGAGCGATCCGCGCAAATGTGACTTTTTTATTTATCACTTTAGTTGACTTTAGAGTTTTAGACTTTAGTCACTTTAGTCTTTAACTTTAAATTAAAATTTTACCTCTTCTGCTGGAATCCACTTGGGCGGAGGTTCATAAGGTGGCGGATAATTTTCATTAAACGGCTGTTCCATCTTTTCTTTTCTAGATGCTTCTAGGATCTAGAATCTAAATGCTAAATGAAAAAAATAATAATTCAATACTAGATCTAGATCAAGAATCTAGAAATAAAACTGGAAATACGTGAGTTTAGTATTTAGGTTCGTGTAATGTTGATTGTTGCTAGTTCAAGTTTTGTACATACAGTTTAAATACCACAATCAACCTAAATATTGCAAAAAAAGCAGCAAAAATAATAAAATATAGGCCCTACCTAATTAATATAGGCCTATCTATTTTAGCCTACTTATTTTAACATAACTATTTGCGTTTTGAATCTAAGATTATATGTATTGAACAAATTAACTCCGTCTTCGTATTAATATTTCCTTAAACATTTTGCAAAAACAATTTTCCTAAATTTTTCATCACTAGAAATGTACGTTTGTTTTCAGTTCTGTGCAGTTATGGTCGACAATTAGACTACCAATACAACGACTTATAGTCGATATTTTAATTTACCCTGTACTTTTGCCTTTCATTGTTTTTGTTTACATCCCCTCTCATAAACTGGCCGGCATCATTTATTAGTTGGTAAGACCTAGAGAAAAGAGAGTTGAGAGGGAGTTGCAATGATTATGTCAAAATGTCCATGTTAGTTTAGTTTTCATAGCCCAGCTCTAATTTTTTTCTAGCAGCTGGCTAGGTGTTGATTCAGTAAACACACAACTAACATCAACTGTCACACTCAACATTATCAATCATAATCATTCATAGGTAGGTAATCTATCGTTTTGGGTACGTAAAATCGCCCGCGGCTATTAATGTACGAAAACGTTACCTCATTGTCAAGGCTGTAATAGAAGTATATTGTGATATGTTTGTGTCAAATATTATAGATAAATGAATAATAAACCTAAATCAATCGCTAAATATATCAATATAGGCCAGAAATTAACTTTAAACAGCAGTGTCTGCAAGAAAGATTTGCTATATAAACAGCAACCATTTGTAAAATAGAGTGGCTTCCGCCTGAATCTCGCGGTATAAGTCTATAAAAATAAAACTTTAACAAGATGGCTGCTATAGTAAATGAGCATGGTTGCATCTGTTGGAAATATTGCTGGTGTTCATTTATTACTTAAAAGTTTTAATTCAATTGTTTAAAAACAGGTACATAAATAAAACAAGGAAACATTTTTGTATTTTTCAAAACATAAATCCTCCTCAAAATGTGAAATAATTATTAAAATGTAAGGAGTCACCTGTTTTTCACATTACTAGTCGCGGGCGATTTTACGTACCTAAAACGATAGATTACCCAATCATACAGTCATACGACATACAATAATGTCTCGGACTTAGTCATTATCATATTATGATACATCAGTAACATCTGTACTCTAGCCTAACTATTTGATTTGGACTTATCACTCCAGCTGGCTACATAATACATATTAATTCAGTTGCTATTGTAATTAATGACTAGAATGTATGTATGATGATTGTATCAGTGGCGTCGCTAGGTCGGGTGTCACCCGGTGCGGCACCTCACGGTGTCACCCCTTTTTTTTCCCACTGTAAATTTTGAAGATGTTTTCACTCCCCCCTGGTAAAAAGCTGAAATACTAATGATGTGCATTCATACTCGGTTATTAATACAGCTGGATGTAATATTGTTTTCTCCCCCCCCCCCCACCCCCCTTGTCAGGATCATAAATTTGTGCTGCTTAAATTACTTTTTAACTCTAATAAACCATTTATTGAACTGGCAAAAAACCATTTATTTATTCTATATATCTTGCATTTTTTTGTCTTGGTGTCACCCCCTAAATGGTGTCACCCGGTGCAGTCCGCACCCCCGCCCCCACATCGCGACGCCTCTGAATTTGTATACATTACTAGTTAATATTATAGTAATTACTATTTTAGAATTAAATAAATTCCTTCATATAATATATATCTAGGCATAGGCCCTAATTATAATAATAATGTAGGTAGGTTTAAATTAACTAAACAAAAAACAAGAATGCTAACTGAAAAAAAATTAACAGATACTGCTGGGGTAGGTTAGGCCTACATATTTTAATACTTTTGGTATTTAGGCCCTAAATTAACATCAGCCCCTCTGAGGGATTGCATTGCCTGATAGTAAAGCACTAAACTGTTGACCCAAAAGTCTGAATTTTGTTCCCAAAGCTCTGGTCACATGAGGCTAATTAATTGGGAACATCAACCCATCTAGGAGAGGATAAAGCACTGCTGTACATGCAGACAGAAAAGCAGGTTGAATTTGGAGTCATTGATTTAATACTAATACATCTTCTATCTGCAGAAGCACAGAGAGAAATATGGAAATTATGGAACGTTTGAATCATGCACTGACAAACGGCTTGAGCAAGGAAGAGTTTTTTCGCTTAGTAGAATCAGAGCTGAAGGGCAAAAGGCTACTGGTGCGTAACAGATCATCACACAAATTAGCTCTTGTTTGATACTAAAAATGTTGTCAATTTTCTCTGTGCTGACAATGTTGTCAATTTGAGAGGTTGAAGTTGTCATACTGTAACTGTTCAGTATGCAATGGTTAGACTGCAGCTGTATGTAACGGTCATACTGTAATTGTTTACAATATAATTGTGTTATACTGTAGTTGTTCATCATGTAATGGTTATACTGTAATTGTTCAGTATGTAATGGCTATACTGTAATTGTTCAGTATGTAATGGCTATACTGTAATTGTTCAGTATGTAATGGCTATACTGTAATTGTTCACTATGTTATGGTAATATGCTGCAATTTTTCTTCATAATGTGTTTTTACATATGACTTATGACACCATTTAATAACACTCCTAAACACATGGTGGCATTCTTAAACACACGGTGACACTCCTAAACACATGGTGACACTCCTAAACACATGGTGACACTCCTAAATACATGGTGATACACCTAAACACACGGTGACACTCCTAAACACATGGTGACACTCCTAAACACATGGTGACACTCCTAAATACATGGTGATACACCTAAACACATGGTGAGACTCCTAAACTGTAATCTGATATTAGATTGTGCAAATATTTTTGTGTCATTTCAGAAAAGTACCAACAGTACAATTACTTTATCTTCTCGTAAGTCAACATCTTTTTTACTTAGCTGATAACACTGACAGTCCTTAAAAATTGTTTTTTATTTTACCAAACAATTGTAGTCAATACAGTTATCATTATTTAGTAAACATTCATTAATAAACATTCAGTCTAAAAAAATCCTTTAAAAATGAAACATCATCAAAATAAATTTTAGTACAGTAGTGAAAGTTAGTGCTTCAACATTTTGTAAATCTTCGGTAATATGCATAGATAAAATTCTGTTATAAAAAGGAAATAGATCTAAATTAATTTCTTTTTAAACTGCAAAAAAAGAACTCAAATGTAAAGATTGAAAAAGTCACAAGATTTCTTTTAGCTGAGTTCAGTCCCCTTGTATAATACTTGTAAAATAATTTATGATCCCTGTACTTCTGTTGATTTAGCAAATTATATTTCTGTATTTAAATAACTATTTTCAGGGACATCAAACACACCAACAGAGTACCATGAGCTACTGAACAAGTTGAACGAACAAGAGGCTCAATTTAAATTGTTTCACGAGGAAGAGAAAAAGAGGCACCAAAAGTATGAAGATATGATGCATCAGCAGGCCAAACTGTTCCAGCGTTTGCTGGAGGAGAATAAGTCTCACACGGCTGAAAGTTTTCAAAACCTCAGAGCCGGCCTTCAGGAGGTTAAGGACATGCTGCACAACACTGCCCAAATGGAAAAGAGTTTTTTCAGAGAAGAGTTAGGCTCTGCTCAGAGTGACATGTTTAATAAATTAGTCAAGGTTCAAGATGTGAGTAAAAATAAGGTGTGTGCAGAATCAAAAGCCGTGCAACTAATGCTGCAAGAGTTTAAGGACTTTGTCCACAGTGGGTTTTCACAGATCAACAAAAATGTTTTGGCTGTGAAGAGTCACGTCACTCGTCTGTCATCGCAGATCCCGCTGGACGTGTCCCACGTCCCCCACGAACCAGACACGAGCAAAGAAACTTTTGTGCAGAATGTTCCAGATGCTGAGGTTGAGCCCGACAAAAACCAACCAATGACCTTTCTTTTGGCTGTGGACAACTTGTTTTATCAATTTTTCTGCTTGATTTTTCTGATTTTGCCTTGCCCCAGAATCCAGCCATTGAACTTGAAAGTGGGCTGGCCATTTCTTATAGTTGGATTGGTCCTGGGCTTCTGTATTCACTGCGTTTGTAACAGCTTTTGGCCATCAGAGGAAAACACAGTGTATGTAGAGAGAAAGAATGGCTGGCTTGGTCTCTTCTAGCCAGCTGTGTGAAGGTGAAGGTCACTAGTAACTGCTGAACATCAGAAGGTGAAGGTCACTATTAACTGCTGAACATCTTTAGCCAGTCAAGGCATGAATATTTTTTTCTTTCAAAGCTCCATCAACACAGTGTACCATTAACTTATCATGATATTAATTGCCTTGACAGCATTAAGTACTTTTTAAAATGAAAATAAAATCCAGTCAGTTTTACTATTTATTATATTATATTGAATTTTTAAATACATTGATATTTATAACATCATGAAATTGTGTGACACTTTTTGTAAATAAAAATGAATTTCATATAGATCTACAAGCATTTCAAAATTGTTGTTTTGATTTTTAAAATCTACTGTTGGGTTATGTATCTATTTATCTAAAAATTAATTTAAAAAAATATGCAGAGTAGCTCCAAAGTAAAAAGTTCCTATATTGTATAGAACATTACAAACTAAATTATGATAATTAATATATACCTTAAAATATTCAGGCATTAAGACTTGTAGGAACTGAGAAAAAAAAATGTTTGTATGCAGACTAGACCTACAAAAAATTACATTTTTACCTCAAAGTTACATTTTAAATTCAGATTATTATCTTTATATGCTTGTCAATTCTCACCATGTTTATTAATGGAATCAGACCAGTTTTTGGCATATAAACCAGGAAAAATATTTCCGTGTTTGTATACTTGTGCCGTCTTTGTCAAGTCATTACTTTTTTCCTATAGTTTCAGTAGTGTGCATTCTATAGTAAGTTCCACATGTTAATACAGAATTCCTTGATTTGTTTAGCTGACTGTACAGTTGTGTTGGCCAGAGATGGTCGTGTTGGCCTGGGATGGTCGTGTTGGCCAGGGATGGTTGTGTTGGCCTGGGATGGTCGTGTTGGCCAGAGATGGTCGTGTTGGCCAGGGATGGTCGTGTTGGCCAGGGATGGTCGTGTTGGCCAGGGATGGTCGTGTTGGCCTCGGATGGTCGTGTTGACCTGGGATGGTTGTGGTGGCCTCAATCTGTCGTGGTGGCCTGGGATGGTCGTGTTGGCCAGGGATGGTCGTGTTGGCCAGGGATGGTCGTGTTGGCCTGTGATGGCCAGGGATGGTTGTGGTGGCCAGGGATGGTTGTGTTGGCCTGGGATGGTCGTGTTGGCCAGGGATGGATGTGGTGGCCAGGGATGGTTGTAGTGGCCTGGGATGGTCGTGTTGGCCTGGGATGGTTGTGTTGGCCAGGGATGGTCGTGTTGGCCAGGGATGGTTGTGTTGGCCAGGGATGGTCGTGTTGGCCTGGGATGGTTGTGTTGGCCTGGGATGGTTGTGTTGGCCAGGGATGGTTGTGTTGGCCTGGGATGGTCGTGTTGGCCAGGGATGGTTGTGTTGGCCTGGGATGGTTGTGTTGGCCTGGGATGGTCGTGTCGTGGTAACCAGGGATGGTTGTGTTGGCCTGGGATGGTCGTGTTGGCCAGGGATGGTTGTGTTGGCCTGTGATGGTTGTGTTGGCCAGAGATGGTTGTGTTGGCCAGGGATGGTTGTGTTGGCCAGGGATGGTTGTGTTGGCCAGGGATGGTTGTGTTGGCCAGGGATGGTCGTGTTGGCCTGGGATGGCCAGGGATGGTTGTGGTGGCCAGGGATGGTTGTGTTGGCCTGGGATGGTCGTGTTGACCAGGGATGGTTGTGTTGGCCAGGGATGGTTGTGTTGGCCTGGGATGGTCGTGTTGGCCAGGGATGGTCCTGTTGGCCAGGGATGGTCGTGTTGGCCAGGGATGGTCGTGTTGGCCAGGGATGGTCGTGTTGGCCAGGGATGGTCGTGTTGGCCTGTGATGGCCAGGGATGGTTGTGTTGGCCAGAGATGGTCGTGTTGGCCAGGGATGGTCGTGTTGGCCAGGGATGGTCGTGTTGGCATGTGATGGCCAGGGATGGTTGTGGTGGCAAGGGATGGTTGTGTTGGCCTGGGATGGTCGTGTTGGCCAGGGATGGTTGTGTTGGCCAGGGATGGTTGTGGTGGCCTGGGATGGTCGTGTTGGCCTGGGATGGTTGTGTTGGCCAGGGATGGTCGTGTTGGCCAGAGATGGTTGTGGTGGCCAGGGATGGTCGTGTTGGCCTGGGATGGTTGTGTTGGCCTGGGATGGTTGTGTTGGCCAGGGATGGTTGTGTTGGCCTGGGATGGTCGTGTTGGCCAGGGATGGTTGTGTTGGCCTGGGATGGTTGTGTTGGCCTGGGATGGTCGTGTCGTGGTAACCAGGGATGGTTGTGTTGGCCTGGGATGGTCGTGTTGGCCAGGGATGGTTGTGTTGGCCTGTGATGGCCTGGGATGGTCGTGTTGGCCAGGGATGGTTGTGTTGGCCTGTGATGGCCTGGGATGGTCGTGATGGCCAGGGATGGTCGTGTTGGCCAGGGATGGTCGTGTTGGCCAGGGATGGTTGTGTTGGCCAGAGATGGTTGTGGTGGCCAGGGATGGTTGTGTTGGCCAGAGATGGTTGTGGTGGCCAGGGATGGTTGTGTTGGCCACAGATGGTTGTGTTGGCCAGAGATGGTTGTGTTGGCCAGAGATGGTCGTGATGGCCAGAGATGGTTGTGGTGGCCAGGGATGGTTGTGTTGGCCAGAGATGGTTGTGTTGGCCTGGGATGGTTGTGGTGGCCAGGGACGGTTGTGTTGGCCAGAGATGGTCGTGTTGGCCTGGGATGGTTGTGTTGGCCTGGGATGGTCGTGTCGTGGTAACCAGGGATGGTTGTGTTGGCCTGGGATGGTCGTGTTGGCCAGGGATGGTTGTGTTGGCCTGTGATGGCCTGGGATGGTCGTGTTGGCCAGGGATGGTTGTGTTGGCCTGTGATGGCCTGGGATGGTCGTGATGGCCAGGGATGGTCGTGTTGGCCAGGGATGGTCGTGTTGGCCAGAGATGGTTGTGTTGGCCAGAGATGGTTGTGTTGGCCAGAGATGGTTGTGTTGGCCAGAGATGGTTGTGTTGGCCAGGGATGGTTGTGATGGCCAGGGATGGTTGTGGTGGCCAGGGATGGTTGTGTTGGCCTGGGATGGTCGTGTTGGCCAGGGATGGTTGTGTTGGCCTGGGATGGTTGTGGTGGCCAGGGATGGTTGTGTTGGCCAGAGATGGTTGTGTTGGCCAGAGATGGTTGTGTTGGCCAGGGATGGTTGTGTTGGCATGGGATGGTCGTGTTGGCCAGGGATGGTTGTGTTGGCCAGAGATGGTTGTGGTGGCCAGAGATGGTTGTGTTGGCCTGGGATGGTTGTGGTGGCCAGGGATGGTTGTGTTGGCCAGAGATGGTTGTGTTGGCCAGAGATGGTTGTGTTGGCCAGAGATGGTTGTGTTGGCCAGAGATGGTTGTGTTGGCCAGAGATGGTTGTGTTGGCCAGAGATGGTTGTGTTGGCCAGAGATGGTTGTGTTGGCCAGAGATGGTTGTGTTGGCCAGAGATGGTTGTGTTGGCCAGAGATGGTTGTGTTGGCCAGAGATGGTTGTGTTGGCCAGGGATGGTCGTGTTGGCCAGGGATGGTCGTGTCGGCCAGGGATGGTCGTGTTGGCCTGTGATGGCCTGGGATGGTTGTGTTGGCCTGGGATGGTCGTGTTGGCCAGGGATGGTTGTGTTGGCCAGAGATGGTTGTGTTGGCCAGAGATGGTTGTGTTGGCCAGAGATGGTTGTGGTGGCCAGAGATGGTTGTGATGGCCTGGGATGGTCGTGTTGGCCTGTGATGGTCGTGTTGGCCTGGGATGGTTGTGTTGGCCTGGGATGGTTGTGTTGGCCAGGGATGGTTGTGGTGGCCTGGGATGGTTGTAGTGGCCAGAGATGGTCGTGTTGGCCAGGGATGGTTGTGTTGGCCAGAGATGGTTGTGGCGGCCTCAATCTGTCGTGTTGGCCTGGGATGGTCGTGTTGGCCAGGGATGGTTGTGTTGGCCTGGGATGGTTGTGTTGGCCTGGGATGGTCATGTTGGCCAGGGATGGTCATGTTGGCCAGAGATGGTTGTGTTGGCCAGAGATGGTCGTGTTGGTCTGGGATGGTCCTGTTGGCCAGGGATGGTTGTGTTGGCCTGTGATGGTCGTGTTGGCCAGGGATGGTTGTGTTGGCCTGAGATGGTCGTGTTGGGATGGTTGTGTTGGCCTGGGATGGTCGTGTTGGCCTGGGATGGTCGTGTTGTCCTGGGTTGGTCGTGGTGGCAGAGATGGTTGTGGTGGCCAGAGATGGTTGTGTTGGCCTGGGATGGTTGTGGTGGCCAGGGATGGTTGTGGTGGCCAGAGATGGTTGTGTTGGCATGGGATGGTCGTGTTGGCCAGGGATGGTTGTGTTGGCCAGAGATGGTTGTGGTGGCCAGAGATGGTTGTGTTGGCCTGGGATGGTTGTGGTGGCCAGGGATGGTTGTGTTGGCCAGAGATGGTTGTGTTGGCCAGAGATGGTTGTGTTGGCCAGAGATGGTTGTGTTGGCCAGAGATGGTTGTGTTGGCCAGAGATGGTTGTGTTGGCCAGAGATGGTTGTGTTGGCCAGAGATGGTTGTGTTGGCCAGAGATGGTTGTGTTGGCCAGAGATGGTTGTGTTGGCCAGAGATGGTTGTGTTGGCCAGGGATGGTCGTGTTGGCCAGGGATGGTCGTGTCGGCCAGGGATGGTCGTGTTGGCCTGTGATGGCCTGGGATGGTTGTGTTGGCCTGGGATGGTCGTGTTGGCCAGGGATGGTTGTGTTGGCCAGAGATGGTTGTGTTGGCCAGAGATGGTTGTGTTGGCCAGAGATGGTTGTGGTGGCCAGAGATGGTTGTGATGGCCTGGGATGGTCGTGTTGGCCTGTGATGGTCGTGTTGGCCTGGGATGGTTGTGTTGGCCTGGGATGGTTGTGTTGGCCAGGGATGGTTGTGGTGGCCTGGGATGGTTGTAGTGGCCAGAGATGGTCGTGTTGGCCAGGGATGGTTGTGTTGGCCAGAGATGGTTGTGGCGGCCTCAATCTGTCGTGTTGGCCTGGGATGGTCGTGTTGGCCAGGGATGGTTGTGTTGGCCTGGGATGGTTGTGTTGGCCTGGGATGGTCATGTTGGCCAGGGATGGTCATGTTGGCCAGAGATGGTTGTGTTGGCCAGAGATGGTCGTGTTGGTCTGGGATGGTCCTGTTGGCCAGGGATGGTTGTGTTGGCCTGTGATGGTCGTGTTGGCCAGGGATGGTTGTGTTGGCCTGAGATGGTCGTGTTGGGATGGTTGTGTTGGCCTGGGATGGTCGTGTTGGCCTGGGATGGTCGTGTTGTCCTGGGATGGTCGTGGTGGCAGAGATGGTTGTGGTGGCCAGAGATGGTTGTGTTGGCCTGGGATGGTTGTGGTG